TTTAGAAATAAACTTGATGAAAGTGGTAATATAGTGAGGAACAAGGCTAGACTTGTTTCTCAAGGCTATACTCAAAGAAGGCATAGACTATGATGAAACATACGCTCCCGTAGCTAGGATGGAAGCAATTAGAATGTTATTAGCATTTGCATGTTTCAATGAATTTAAATTATATCAAATGGATGTTAAAAGTGCATTTTTAAATGGTTTTATAAAGAAGAAGTGTACGTGGAACAACCTCCAGGTTTTGAAGATTCAAATTTTCCGGATCATGTTTTAAAATTGACAAAAGTCTTTATGGTTTAAAACAAGCCCTAGAGCTTGGTATGAAAGATTGTCAAATTTTTAATTGAAAAAGGTTTTTTAAAGGAAAGGTTGACACTACATTGTTTTTAAAGAGAAAAGGTAAAGATTTATAGTAGTTCAAATTTATGTTGATGATATAATATTTGGTTCTACTAATGATGTTCTTTGTCAAGAATTTTCTAAGCTAATGCAAAGTGAGTTTGAGATGAGCATGATGGGGGAGCTCTCATTTTTCTTGGGACTCCAAATCAAGCAAAGAAAAAGATGGCATCTTCATTAATCAAGCTAAGTACGTCAAAGATATGCTCAAGAAGTTTGGACGGAAAATGGGAAACCTCAAACACTCCAATGAGCTCTTCAACAAAGCTTGACTTAGATGAAGGAGGTAATGTGTAGATGTTAAATTATATAGGTCAATGATTGGCTCTTTGCTTTATCTAACTGCAAGTAGACCGGACATTATGTTAGTGTTTGCTTATGTGCTAGATTTCAATCATGTCCTAAGGAATCACATTTACTAGCTGTTAAGAGAATCTTTAGATACCTTAAGGACACTCCTAGTTAGGACTTTGGTATCCTAGAGACTCTAGCTTTAGCTTGCATGCTTTTTCTGATGCGGATTATGGAGGATGCAAATTAGATAGGAAAAGCACCTCCGGTACTTGCCAATTCCTTGGAAATATGCTAATTTCTTGGTTTTCAAAGAAACAAAATTGTGTTGCATTATCTACCACTGAAGCCGAATACATTTCAGCTGGTAGTTGTTGTGCACAAGTTTTATGGATGAAACAACAACTTTTTGATTATGGAATTGAAGTAGGTACTATTCCTATCAAGTGTGACAATACTAGTGCTATTTGTCTCACTAAAAATCCCATCCAACACTCTAGAACTAAGCATATTGAAATAAGACATCACTTCATTAGAGACCATGTCACTAAGGAAGATGTAGTTATAGAATTTGTTGATACTTTGCACCAATTAGCGGATATCTTACAAAACCCTTAGACAAGGAAAGATTTGGACACTTAGGAGAGAATTAGGTTTGACCAACCTATCTTCACTTAGTGTTTAAAATAATTTTAGCACTTTTAATAAATCTTGAAAAATGCTTATAATAATAATTTTTGATTGCATTCTTGCTATTAGTTAGGGGGAGTTTGTGATTCTTAGTGAAAATTAATTTTATGTTCAAAAATCTATTAAAGATTAATTTAATTGTTTGAACATAATTAATTTTTGATATATGAGTTGCCAATACCACTAGAAAATATTAATTTAGCATTTTGTGCTTAAAAAAATCGGATTTTAGCATTTTGGTGCAGAGGGAATCGATCCCCCCCTGAGGGAACCGATTCCCCTTTGAAGGGGAACCGATTCCCCTTTGAAGGGGAACCGATTCCCCCCACAGGGGAATCGATACCCCCTGGGGTTCTGCTAAAATCGGGCAGAATAACCCCAAACTCTCAAAAACCCTCTTCCTCTCTCTTCGCCGTTTCTTCCCTCTAAACCCCTCAAATCTCCATTTTTGCCTCAAATCAACGATATTAATCGGAATTTGCTTCATAAATCATCTTCCAAACCTGTTGGAATCATTAAAATCGTGCAAACAACATCTAAATCCCCTCAATCTTCATATTTCAAGGTAAATTTTCTAAACTCTTTATTTCATTATTTTTGAACATAGGATTAGTTTCAATTAGTTCTAGGTTGAAATAGTGATCGGGCATTATTTAGTGATTAGAAACTAGATGTTACAACTAATTTCATCAAAAACACAAGAATTTTTCAATTTTTTTTAAATTTTCGAAATAATAAAAAAAAATATGTTATTTTTCAAATTATGTGTTTTGATTAAATTATATTGTGTTATGAAAAACTACATATATTGTTTCTCAAAACCATATTTTTCAAAAGTTTTTTAACAACTTTGCCCATTAGGATTGATTTAGAGAATCTTGAAATATTGAGGACTCATTTGAGTTTTGGGATTAATTGAATTGCAGACACTTGTTTTAAAATTGCAGGTTATTATATCTATTCCGATTTCCTTCACCATGTCAAATCCTAAACGTCCTAGGTCTTCATCTAGTCGTTCTAGTCGTCAACCAAATCCACCTCCAAATCCTCCTTCTATTCCAATTTCTAATCCCAATCCCACTGATCCTAACTTGACTATCCAAAATTCGTGTTTCAATCATCCTGGGTCTAGAAATCACCGATATTGGTATTATCAATATTTCGATTCTTACAAAATCCGGGAAGAACGTATTCCTTCTCGTCAAGCTTGTTAGCTATCGATTTTAAATATCTTCCCATTTTACAAGAATGGAAATTTGATAAACTATTGATCTTGAACCCATCGTTTACCATCAACTTGTTCGTATATTCTACTCTAATGCCGTATGTGTTAAAAACCAAGCTGAAACCGAAACCATAGGAATTCGTTCCTACCTCCTAGGACAATTCTTATATATTGACCCGGCATATATAGCCAATACATTTGGATTAGATAATGATGGTATTTCGAATGAAAACAAATCTTAGGTTCTCGTTATAAAAGAAGAGATAGTGCGAGTGTCTTAGACCTACATGAGTGTTTTCTTCATCTAATGATTTCTTGGTGGTTTCGACCATCCGGAGGTCGTTATTCTACTCTTAGAGCTTTGGATCTTTGGTGGTTACATGTTTCGAAAACCGTATTAAAATTACCTACCTCAGATTATTTTGCTGAAATTGTTGAAACCGTAAATCTTGTTCCTAACAAGAAACACTGTTCATCTCTAGTTTACGGTTTCTTTTTGAGTAATCTGTTTTCCAAAGTTGGGCTTAGAGTCGGTCTAGATGTCATTTTTCCTCTTAAGAAACAAATAAATCTTCTTTCCTTAACGAGAGCGGGATGGGTAAAGGACAAAGAAACCGGTGAATGGGTTCGTTCTTCTACTCCGGGAGCTAGTTCTTCACAAGCTCCACCCGAGGCTGACGAAGATCCCGAGTTTGAACAATTAATGAGGGATATTGATGAAGCTGAAGAAGAACCTGAACAACCCGAAGAGCAGCCCGAGGAGCAAGCACAACAACGCATCAAATGCCTCCATATTTTCAATCCTTTATGGAGACATTCGATTTCCGATACGCTACCATGGACTCGCGCTTTTCCTCTATAGAGTCTCATTTATCCACAATGGGAGCTCAACAATTAGAGATTCTTCGGGAGATGCGTGCAAACAATGAATCAACCAACGCTCGTATCAATGAACTCACACACGAGATGGCCGCTATGCGAGCCCGTTTTCCTCCTACCGATCCGGATGCTTGATTTTATGTTTAGCTTTAAAACTTTGAACAAAATGAATATTGTTTCAACATTTTGATTTGTTTGATTTTGTGGATTGTTGGATTTTGGATATGAATGGTGTGAACTTATATGTTTGGTGTTTTATTCATTTTTTGCATCATTTACATTATCATTAGCAATATGACCAATTTTGCCATATCACATTATTTATGAATATTGATTTATGAAACTAATGGCTAACCTCTCTTTTGATTGTGATCTTAGCAGCTTAAGCTTATAATTAATAAATCAATTGGCTAAATGATTTTCAAAACCTTGTTTTCAATGTCTTTTTGATTTAACAAAAGGGGGGAAGAATAAGTGTTAAATGTTTTACATGATAAATTGAAGAAGTGTTAAAGTAAGGGGGAGTAATTTCAAAAACTTGATTTCAAAAATCATAAAATTACTAAATTTTGTTATATCAAAAGGGGGAGATTGTTGAAACATTTTAATATTTCGATATAACAATTAAGTTAAATGGATTTTAAGATTTTCCAAATGATTTTCTAAGTATATTCGATATAACTATTCGAATATCAAAACATTACTCCAAATATTTCAAAAATCATTTTTGATCCTTACTTAAGTGTAAAATTAAGTTTTAATCATAAAACAATTTCAAAATAATTTTACAAAGTATTTCGAACCAATTCAAAGCCAAAAATTCCAGATTACTCAGAGGGAACCGATTCCCCCCCATAGGAACCGATTCCCCCTGAATGGTTTGGCTCTGAGATTTCCAGAATGCTCGGAGGGAACCGATTCCCCCCCAAGGGGGTACCGATTCCCCCCTGTTCAACAGTCGAAATATTTGAATTTTACACTTAGGGAACCGATTCCCTATGATAGGGAACCGATTCCCCCCACTGTCCAAGCTGTTTTATTAAATGTTTTCACACTAAAACGGCTATAATATCTTCTCTAATTATCCCCAACGTTCAGAAGTGATCCAAGGTGTATTTAAGCAAGCTTAGAAGCCATTGATCAACAACAAGAAACATCAAGCAACTAGAATCAAGAGAGAATCAAAGAGAAAGCATCAAACCTCAAGTTTGAGCATTTCAAAGCCCATTTTCATTCAATATTCATTTTGCTTTCAAGAACACTTTTTGTGCTCAATTGTATTCATCTTTGAGTGTTCTTTTCTTTGTTTTAGAATTGTGCAAACATCTTACCTTGTGAGGTTTTCTTGTAAGTTTGCAAATTTGTAATCTTCTCTTTGAGAAAAGAGTGTTCTCAAGAGTTGGGGTATACTCTTGAGGGAATTGTAAGGTTATCTCTTTGGCCTCAAAAGAAAGAACAAATTAGTAAATTTGTTGGAAAATCCTTAGTGTGGATAGCTAAGGTAGTGGACGTAGACTTTTTTTGAGAAAGTCGAACCACTATAAATCGGTGTGTAATTATTTTCAATTTTCTGCAAAAGCTTCCACAAAATTTTTATTGCCAATTCACCCCCCCTCTTGGCCAATTTCGTCATTCGTTAACTCAACACTTCACCATCAAGCTGTCCTACAGAAATCAGATTTCTTTTGAGGCCATGAATATGTCTCACTCCTTTCAGCGTCCAGGTGGTCTGGTTTGACAACTTTAGTCGGAGGTCTCCTTTTCCGACGATCTTCAAGGTTTAATCATCAGCTAGATGAACCTTCCCAAAATCACCACTTACATAGTTCTCCATGATTTCTAGGCATGGGGTGGAGTGGAAAGATGCCCCTGAATCCAAGATCCATGATTCAATCGGACTGTTGACTATCACTCTGAATTTAGATCTGCCACGATTTGAATATCACTCTGAAGTTCTCCCTCTAGACTCCGTGTGCAAGGCTGAGGAGGTTGATGCTTCACCCGATTCTCTTCGTCGAATTTCTTCGCTCAATACCAGATCCCGAACATCGTCGAATTTCAATTTACTGTTTCTTGACAAGCTGTTGACTGCTGTAATAGTAGCATTCCAGCTGTCTGGTAGATGATAAGAGAATTAAAGCTCGAACTTCATCATCGAATTCAATTTCCACGGAACTCAACTGGGTTGTGATTGTGTTGAGTTCATTTAAGTGTTGAGCCACTGATGCCCCTTTCGCCATCCGCAAATTGAATATTCCCCTCATCAAATGAACTTTGTTTGAGGCCGATGGCTTCTCATACATACTGGAGAGAGCCGCCATAAGACCCGTCGTGGTCTTTTCCTTTGCTATGTTGAAAGTAACATTGCAGAATAACGTCAGTCGGATAACTCCGAGGGCTTGTCTGTCGAGAAGAGCCCAATCTTCATTCTTCATGCCCTCTGGTTGTTTTCCTGAGAGAGCTTGATATAGATTTTTCTGGTACAGAAAATCTTCAATCTGCATCTTCCAAAATCCAAAGTCCGCACCATCGAACTTTTCAATTTTCACCTTCCCTTCGTCTGCAGCCATCGCTCCCACTCGAATCTGGCTTCTTTGGATTGTTTCTAACAATTTGTACGAACCACCGTGTATTATAACACCTCCGTCGAAAAACTCGTATCGCCGACAAAAATTTTACTATTCACGAAATTCACTATTCACGTGAATTGTAATGAATACTAACCTCGCAAAAATTGACAAAATTCACAACCAAAAGCTCTGATTACCAGTTGTTGGGAAATAAAACGAATACGAGTAATTTCCTTATAACCAGATTAGTGAGAATGCGAAATAAAAGCGGAAAAATAATACCCGAAATTGATAACGGAGTTCAACCAATTTTGCCTACCTCTCCAGACTGCTACAGATCTTTTACTAAGAGAGAAAATTTACAAGTATTTACAAAACACTCACTACTCACAAGAAAGCTCTCTAGTAATGGGATAAAGAAATGATTTTTGGGATTTTGAGATGATTTTGAAACTAAATGGGATAGGGTATTTATAGTTGAAGCTTGAGGACTAATCTTATAAATACACTAAACTTCAATGACTCAATTTGGTGATTATCCCTTCAAAATTTCAACAATAAACATGCCAAACTTTGACAAAACAATAGAAGCCGGCTGCTGCCATATTTCCTTGACTTTAACAAAGGCCCCATGTGATTTAACGTTCCTGGCATTATTTCCTGGATAACACTCGTAATGTAGAGACATTAGAACAAGGACCGCTGAAATTGATAAACGCTCATCTCAAATGGAAGAAACAACAATTCTTTACTTGTCTCTTTCCCTTGTCTTCTCCTATGTTTAAATATGTTGTTTCAAATAAAGAAACACTGCAAAAACATCCCTCCATGCCCACCTTCACTCCCCATACTCGGCCACCTTCACCTTCTCAAACCTCCTTCCCACCGTTTCTACCATTCTCTTTCTCAAAAATATGGTCCAATCTTCTCCCTTCGCCTCGGCTCTTGGTTTGCGGTGGTGGTTCATCTTCCACGCGGTGGTGGTTTCATCTCCACCCGGCGGAGAAATGTTTCACTAAGAACGATGTAGTTTTGGCTAATCGTCCCAAGTTTATCATGGGGAAGTACTTGGGCTACAACTACACCACACTTACATCCCCATCCTATGGCGATCATTGGCGCAACTTACGTCGTATCGGCGCCATTGAAATCTACTCATCTAGCCGTCTCAACGCCTTTGCAAGCGTTCGATTGTTGCGTGACTAGCGTCGAGGGTTTGCAAGAGTGGACCTCAAGTCCATGCTTCGTGACTTGACGTTCAATAATATAATGAGGGTGCTTGCGGGGAAAAGTTACTACGGAGATGAAGTTATGGATGACGATTAAGCGAGCGAATTTAGGGAGATTATACCAGAGGCGGTTAGCTATGGCGGATCGGGAAATCCTGCAGATTTCTTGCCTGTGTTGAATTGGTTTGGAGGGTTTGAAAAGAAGGTGAAGAAGCTTGGGGAAAAGATGGACGGATTGATGCAAAAGTTGATAGATCAGCACCGATGTAAGAGGCTGGACAATAATAAAAATTACAACAACAACAATAATAATAGTACGATCGACCACCTTCTTAACTTGCAACAATCTGATCCTCATTACTATACTGATGAAATCATCAAAGGACTCATGTTGGTAAGTTGGAATCTTCTTTGTTCAAGTTCCATCGTTTCAATCATCAAAACCCATGTTAATATCGATAGGAATCTTTATATCACCATGTCAATAACAAGCATGAATGCTGTGCAGGTGCTAATATTTGCAGGAATTGATACATCAGCGGTGACCTTAGAATGGGCAATGTCCAATTTGCTAAACCATCCAGTTGTATTGAGGAGCTCTAAAGCTGAAATAGACAGTGAAATAGGGGAATAAAATCTAATCGATGAATTGGATCTCCCAAAGCTGAAATATCTTCAAGGTATATATGTTCGAGACTCTTAGATCATACCCTGCAGCCCCTCTTCTGCTCCCACACGTGCCATCTAGTGATTGCACCGTTGGTGGATACGATGTTCCGCGTAGCACGATCGTGTTGGTGAATGCATGAGAAATTAGGGGGGATCCAAAATCATGGGAGGATCCAACAAGTTTCAAGCCAGAGAGATTTGCGAATGATGAGAAATTAGGGGTAGATGATGATTTATGGACACACAAGCTAATGCCATTTGGGTTAGGAAGAAGGGCATGTCCAGGAGCAGGGTAAGCTCAACGAGTGGTGGGCTTAACCTTAGGAGCATTGATTCAATGCTTTGAGTGGGAAAGGATTGATGGCATGCCAGTTGATATGGTTGAAGGAAAAGGAGGCACCATGCCAAAGCTCACCCGTTAAAGGCTTTGTGCAAAGCTCGCCCCATTGTGGATAGAACTTTTTATATTAATTAGTTTAGAGTTTTTATTAGAAAAAGTTAAATATTTTTATTGATTGTACGTAGTTATAATGATGAATACCATTTTTTGCGCAATTCGTCCTATTTCATTAGGGGTGTAAATGAGACGAGACATATCGTGAGTTACTCGAGATCGACTCGAACTCAAGCTCAACTCAAATTCTTAACAAGCCGAAACGAGCTACTTGATACTCGACTCGAAAAACTCGTGAGCAGATCGAAAATATAATATATTAAGATTTTATTTTTAAAAAAATAAATTATTAATAATATTAACATTTATGTGTTGATTTTTTTTAAAATACAATAAGGCTTTCATGTATTTAAGGTTCATATTTAAGTTTGAGTTTGATTATTCAATCTTGTTAAGTTTAAGAGTTTTTTTTATTGAACTGCTCACGAGCTTCAATTCAGGATTTCGAGTTTGAGTCGAGCTTAAAAATTTTAAGCTCGCGAGTTTTCGAGTCGAGTTGATCTCCATTTCAGAGCTTTCGAGTCGAATTGATCTCAACAATACTCGAGCTCGACTTAGCTCGTTTACACCCCAACCGGATTAAATGGGATGAGTACGGGTTTCACATGTGGTAAAGGTAAAAAAATTGGAGATAAAAATTAAATAAATAATGTCAAAAAATATTTATGCGTTTCACTAAATAGTTATTTTTAGTCTCTATTTTTTTTAAGTATTTTGGTTCCCAATGTTTAATTTTAGAGCAAAATATTGCCTAATGTTTGACTAAATAGTTACTTCTTCCCTTATTCTTTATTGAAATATTTTGTTACCAACGTTTCAGTTTATGACAAAAAGATTCATATTTTAGAGCATTTATCGTTTTTAGAATTTTTTTATCATTATACTAAAATTAAACATGTCATGGATAATGGTACGGGTGTGAATATGACCTTGTATCCCTTCATCGTTATCGTCTCGCATTATTATTTGTATTTGGATACTATGTAAGAACTTTATTTTTAAAAATTTTGATATCGCGTTGAAGTTATATTTTAATTTATCAACTATAATATCATGATAATTATTATTATTATTATTAAACACTTTTATGTCTGTAATACTTCTAATATCTTGTGATTTTATAAATTAATCAGTAACTTAATTTATGTCATATTTTATCATAATAGTATACATTAAAAATATGTGCTATAATTATGAATTTTAATTTAATATCATACACACCCTATAGGTATAATAACTCAAACTCGAATCTTTAAAAAAAAAAAATCTTTTTACCATTGAATTATAAATCATTAGTTTTATTATTTGATTAAATTTTTTAAAAAAAACTATAAATAAAATTAACACATGCATTGAGTCACGAACTAGTTTAAACAGATTAAATTGCATAAAGTTAGTAATCTTTGCATTCTAAATCATAAAGGTGAAATTATATTATTAAGATGGTCTCTTACTGAGTTTTAAAATCAATTTTTTTTAAATTTTAATCATAGTTATTTTAAATAATTAAATTTCATAAAATATATTTAAAAATTATTTGATTAAATTTTTTTAGAATTATTTTTATATTTTTATTAATAATAAATTTTAAATAATAATAAGTTCACATTAAAAGATTTTGATAAAAAATTCAGCAATGAACAGAGAATAAATAATTAAAATAGTATAACTAGGGGTGATTAATGAGTTGAGTAGCTCGAATTTGACTCGGTAAAAACTAGACTCGAGACCTTAACGAGTTGAGTCGAACAAAGTCCAACTCGACTCGATAAGTTCACGAACATCTCGTTAATTTTTTATTTTAATATATTTGTAGATTGTTACTTTGAAGCTTAGACTTTAAAATTACTTCATACATTCTTTTGATAGTTTTTTTAATTAAATTTACTAATTTATGTTTATATTAAGCTGGGGTGATGTATGAACGTCTAACTTGGTGTGATGGCGTTCTGTGTAAGGCAAATGGGGAGCTTCGTCTAATGTTCTTGGATCAACGGTTAAGTTGGGGATTGATTTTTCGGTCATTACGGGCATTAGAATATCGTTGGAAGTTCTAACTGAAGAAAAGGAGTTGGGTGCAGGGGAGTTCATGGTGGAAGGCGACTCAGAAATAGCTACGGATTGGGTGGAATTTCCACCTCATCGGCAATGGAACGGTGGTCTATGCTTCTGGAAGTGTACAGACTGAGGCGGAAAATTGAGTTCATTCATCTCAATCATTTTTATTTTTTACCGAAGAGGAAATGGCTTATTCTCTCAGGTGGGAATTGAAGGTATGCTTAGAAGAGAGTTGGTCAAAGCTTGGTGGTAAGTGACTGGGGTTCTGGTTCTTTCTGTGATATTTTCTGATGTGATTGTTAGTATTGATAGTTATGATTTTGGTTTTTTGATTGCTGGAGCTATATTGTTGGGTGCATGGATGCTGAAAATTTTTTGGCCATGTGTGGTGGTCTTGTAGCTGGGTTATAAGCGAGGTATTATAGTGTTGTATTTTGTTTAGTTTGGTTTAACAGTCGAGTTTGAAGATTTGTTTTCCCATGGGTGTGAATACTCTTTTCTCCACATAGTATTAAGGAGGTTTTTAACAGGCTCATATTCAAGGTTAAGGCGTTTATGTTTAATAAATAAATTCTTTTTGCCCAGAAAAAAAGAATAAATTTTATCTATAGTTAAAAAAATAAAGTAAATTTCGGTTAACTTGATGAATGACGAATATCGAGTTTAACGAGTAACGAGCATAATTAATAACTAACTTAACGAGCAACGAATCGAGTCAAGTAATAAAACTTTTTAATGAGCACAAATTAAGCACGTCATAACTCGCGATCTACTCGCTTGATAAACTGTAAGTATAACGTATGCAATGACGTCTAGCTGTAATTCAGATGCATGCATTAAGAAAAAAAGAAAAGGACCCACAAGGACGCACAACGGTGAAAACTCACCTGCTTGAGGCCCCATGTGCCTCATCAGAACAAGATATAATTCTTTAAGATAATGTGAAAAAACTGACCACCACATAAAGGTCATCCACTTAAACACTCATATTCCCACTTACGTATAAAGCAGTTACCCCTGAAATTGATAAACGCCCATCTGAAATGGAAGAAACAACAATTCTTTACTCGTCTCTTTCCCTTATCTTCCTTCTCGTTTGTTTAAACTTGTTCAAATCAAAGAAACACCCCAAAAACCTCCCTCCATCCCCACTTTCACTCCCCATACTCGGCCACCTCCACCTCCTCAAACCGCCTGTCCACCGTTTCTACCACCGTCTTTCTCAAATATACGGTCCAGTCTTCTCCCTCCGCCTTGGCTCTCGGTTTGTAGTAGTGGTATCATCTTCGACCGTGGCGGAGGAATGCTTCACTAAGAACGATGTACTTTTGGCTAATCGTCCCAAGTTGATCATATGGAAGTACATCGGCTACAACTACACCTCAGTTACAGCCTCATCCTACGGTGATCATTGGCGCAACTTACGTCGTATCAGCGCCATTGAAATCTTCTCGTCTAGTCGTCTCAACGCCTTTGCGAGCATTCGGAAAGATGAGGTCCGGAGGTTGTTGGTGAAATTGTCGCGTGACTCGCGTCGAGGGTTTGCAAGAGTGGAGCTCAAGTCCATGCTTCATGACTTGACTTTCAATAACATAATGAGGATGCTTGCGGGGAAGAGGTACTACGGAGAAGAAGTGATGGATGACGATGAAGCGAGCGAATTTAGGGAGCTTATAGCACAGGCGGTTAGCTATGCCGGATCGGGAAATCGTTCAGATTTCATGCCTTTGTTGAATTGGTTTGGAGGGTATGAGAAGAAGGTGAAGAAGCTTGGAGAAAAGATAGACGGATTGTTGCAAAAGTTAATAGATGAGCACCGGTGTAAGCAGCTGTATAATACTAATAATAATAATAATAATAGTACAATCGACCACCTTCTTAACTTGCAACAATCTGATCCTCATTACTATACCGATGAAATCATCAAAGGACTCATGTTGGTTAGTTGAAATCTTCTTTCTTCAAGTTCCATCGTTCCTATAATAAAAAACCATGTTAATATATATAGGATTCTTTATATTGCCTTGTCAATAACAAGCATGGTCATTTTGCAGGTGCTAATATTTGCAGGAACTGATACATCAGCAGTGACCTTAGAATGGGCAATGTCCAATTTGCTAAACCATCCAGTTGTATTGAGGAGGGCTAAAGCTGAAATAGACAGTGAAATAGGGGAAGAAAATCTGATAGATGAATCGGATCTCCCAAAGCTGAAATATCTTCAAGGTATTATATTTGAGACTCTTAGATTATACCCTGCAGCCCCTCTTCTGCTCCCACACGAGCCATCTAGTGATTGCACCGTTGGTGGATACGATGTTCCGCGTGGCACGATCGTGTTGGTGAATGCATGGTCCATTCATAGAGATCCAAAATCATGGGAAGATCCAACAAGTTTCAAGCCAGAGAGATTTGAAAATGATGAGAAATTAGGGGGAGAAGGTGACTTGGGGACTCACAATCTAATGCCATTTGGGTTAGGAAGAAGGGCATGTCCAGGAGCAGGGCAAGCTCAACGAGTGATGGGGTTAACCTTAGGAGCATTGATTCAATGCTTTGAGTGGGAAAGGATTGATGGCAACGCAATTGATATGGTTGAAGGAACAGGAGGCACCATGCCTAAAGCTCATCCCTTGAAGGCTTTGTGCAAAGCTCGCCCCATTGTGGATAGAACTTTTTATACTAATTAGTTGGAGTTTTTTTTATAGAAAAAAGTTGTATACTTTTATTGATTGTATTTAGTTATAATGAAGCAAATGGAATAATAACTTCTGAAGCACTTGTATTGGGATGTTATTAATACATGTTTTTGCGGAATTCGTCCTATTTTATACTAATATTTTAACACGTTTTCTTATTAAACGTTTTTAAGTCTTGTTCGTCTTAATATTAAATGTTTGTTATTTTTCTTTCTTTTATTTATGCTAAATTATAATTAATATTTTGAAGTTTATTTTAAATTTTAATTATATAAATAAAAAAATCAATAATAATAAATAGAAAATAATAATCAATTTTTTATTCTCACAAGTTAATTGTATAAAGATTTATATGATTTAAATTTTGAAATGGGATGATTTTACGTTTTATACTCTTAGCAAATCATAAGATGAGAATAGAAAAAAACTTGACGGGAACTAATGCAGAAGTAGCATCTCAAACTCGCCCAACCCTAATCTAGGATAAATTACTTAGTGTCGATGGCAACAAATGGGCTATCACGATTGTAACGAAACGAATTTTTGGGTCAACATTCGAGTGTTGAATCAAGGTTCAATTGAATTGATTGATCATAGAATGGAGTTTCCTTGGGTCAAATTTGAGTATAATCGTGTGAGTAATCATTTTAATTGGTGATAGAAGAGGGGTTTGAACTTGAGATGAAGGAAGAGGGGACCTAGAGGGCAATTTTCTGAATAAAGAAAATTGTGCCTAATTTAGTAGGATTTTAATCTAACTTGCTCTAACTTTATGGGGCAATTTGCATAGCCCCTTTTTTCTTCTCTTGCCTAAACTTTATCCTTCATAGCTCTCCATTTTCATCTTCCTTTATCTATTTACTCAAGCAAAAACTAGAACAAAGCTGCAATCTTTCTTCTTCCTCTACATCAATCTAAAAATCCAAGGTAAGAATCATGATCTATGAATTATGAGCTCCAAGATAAGCTCATCATCTTCTTCTATAGTGACCATGAGCTCATTCTGGGTTTTACAAAAGCTTAAGCTCCAAGAGTTCCTCCAATATTTTCATTCGAATTATATGTAACCTAATTGTTTTTTAGCCAGTTATAATAATCATTTCAATGTCGAAATCATTTTTGTGGCTTTGGATTAGTGAAAGTGTTGTGTGAAAGCCCCAAGGGCAAGAGCAGGGAGGATTCGGCTCTAGGTGAGCTATAAAGGTTTTGAATTGCTTAGAAGTTGAGGTAACACACCCTTGACTCCACCTTACTACTTATAGATCATATACATTAGTTTGTTTGCTTGTATTAGGCGGTTAGAGCATATTGTTTGGTTTTGGTGTTCATAGATTGTAGAGAAAGATTTGGACGTTAGAAATAAATGAATATTATGTTTTTTATGATCCCTCAATACTTCTATAAGCTTTATTAATCAAATTAGTCCTTGAACCAACTGTTTTGGATGAGTTTGGGTTGATTTTCATGTGAAACAAGCCAATTATGAGTTTGAGTATTGGTACCATATGAATTAATATCGACACTATTATTCAAAGGGAAAAAAGTAGATTTTTTTAAGGGGTATCGATGCATGTTCATAAGGTATCGATATTGTTCGTTTTATATCAATACCAAAGACTTGGTATCAATATTGGGGGTATTTTAAACCAATATTGGGGCTAGTTTTGGTAGCAATACTTAAAGGAAGTATTGATACCACATAGGTGAGTATCGATACTCAAGGCATGATATTGACAATAATGATTATTAAGTAAACTTTAAGGCTATTTTAGGTACCGGTATTCAAGGAGAGTATCAATAGCTATGTGTCGGTATCTATACCATCAGTGGAATTTGGTTAATGAACATTGAATTATCTATAAGAGCTTGAGAGTGATGAGTCTATCAATTAAAAACTTAAAATTGGAAACTTAAGAATATGTGAATGATTAATAGCATGGAGTTTAATGATGTGTTGAAAAGAATAAGAACATTATGATAAGAGGTTTTATAAAACTTATGTCTTTGCTTGATACTCAAGAAATAAAGAGGACACTTGAGTTATTTATTTATGACGATCGTCTGTTGTGTTTGATGGGTTATTCGGATATCCTAAGAGTCATTCCAAGTCACTTAAAGTAATGATAGTCGAATGTTGATATAATGCTCTTGTGACCTAAAATCATTCAGATATTCTAGAGTTGTAGATTAGTTGGATGTACGTTCTTAATGCGTATGTCAAACAAGTTTTAGTTGAGGTATTTATCCATCGAGGGGTCATTTGGATGTGCGTTCTTAATGCATGAGTGACCCGGGTCGCATCCAAAGTATCAACGTTGTGGGCTAGATGAGTAGGAGTGTCATATGTTATGATAACCTTATACTCACTACTAGAAAAAACCCCTTTGATGACGTGCAATGCGCGTCATCTATGGGTGCAGATGACACACAA